GTTGGGGTAGGAGGCAGGATCGCCAGGGCCGTTACTTAGGAAGAGACCCTCATACTCTGGGATGGGCAGAAAAGATGACGTCACCACCAGTATGCAACTAGAGACACACTTGCAGCCCTCACCAATAAAAGCCCTTATCTCCATTGCCTTCCCTGCAACTCATGTTGGCCTTAGCAATTAGACCCAGGGACAGATCTTCCACAGAAACCGTTTGTCTGTGGTCCTACACAGATCCCAGCTACTCACCGCGGCTGTCCAGTGCATGGTCCCAGGGGACCACAGTGACCTCGGCCCCACGCTGGCACAGGCATCGGATCTGATTATACTTCAGGCCACAGTCCAAAGCCAGAATGCGAGGGGTACCCCCTGCATTGAATACCTGTGGAGCCTGAGAAAGACAGGGCAACGGCTGACAGCTGTGACCAGTGGGTAGAGATAGGCACACACCAATCCCCTAACTTTGAGGCCTCTTCTGACTCTACCTCAATGGTTATGGACAGACTGTAATTACTGTGCTACAGCTTGCAACACTCGCCCCCTCGCCCACTGTACCTTAATGGAGACCTCCGGCACCAGGGGGCGGGCATTGGGGTCCAAGAATGGCAGGGCCGAAGGGTCTGTCCCATCCTGGACCAGCTTCCCCAGCAGAGACCCCTGCTCTCGCAACTTCTTGGTCAGCTCCCGCGTGTCCACTCCTGTCAAAGCAGCACGCTCTGAGAGCTCCCCTCCCCCAGCTCAGTCGTGCGTGAGGTTAAGGCTTCCCGGAGAGCTTCCATCCCAGAGCCCAGTCACACACAGCTGGTCTATGGGCATCAAAGTCCTAAGCCACCCTGATGGAATCACACTACCATCCAGTACTCTCGCCACGACTCTCACATCTGAACTGTACCATGATTCCAGATCTATTTGTTTACAGAAAATACGATCAAGATTTATCTGTTTATAGAAAAAGAACTTGCTAAATGATACAACGGGAATGTAATCGACAAAACGCAGACTGGGAGACTCCAAAGAAAAACTGACCTGTTTCTGTCAAATAGGTTACAAGGCCCATAGATTAAAAAAGATATAATCGAATGCAATGCACCGATCTTGTTTAGATTCAGATTCAAAGAAACAATGAAAAAAATAACTTAGCTAACTGGGAAAATTTTAAACCTTGACTGGATATTTGATATTAAGGAATTACTGTTACTTTTTAAAATGTATGATGTTATTGCGGTCATGTTTTAAAAGGATTCCTTTTTCATAGATACTTAAATATTTATGGATAAATGATACAGTGTCTGAGATAAGCTTTAAAAAATCCGGGGGTGATCTGTGGCCATGCTCCCGTCAGGGACCCGTTTCCTGCAGGTTCTCGCTTTGGCTTCTGGTAACTGCTTGCCGCTAGAACTTTGTACTGCTATTCTCAGGGCTCTATGCCATCTCCTGTTAGGTTTCAGGAACCTGCTCTCTCCCTGGAGTAGTTAGTCCCTTCACTAAACTTTTCAGTTAGGCTTTTGAGTTGCACGTGCTTCCTGCCCCAACTATGACCTGACTTATTTGTATGGAGACCCTAATAAAGCTCTCAAGTTAAACCAAAAAAAAAAAAAAAAAAAAAAATCCGGGGGTACCCAGCTGGCTTGCCTCAGTGATTGAACCAGGTCATAGTTTGATTCCCAGTCAGGGCACATGCCCGGGTTACATCCCCACGGGGGAGTGTGCAAGAGGCAGCCAACCAATGATTCTCTCTCATCATTGATGTTTCTATCTCTCTCTCTCTCTCTCTCCTTTCTTCTCTGAAATCAATAAAACATATTAAAAAATAATAATCTGGGGGTTACAGTAATGGTGATGAAATAAGTTTAGCCCTGAGTTGATAGCTATGGAAGCTGGGGGTTAATTATATACTATTCTTTCCTTTTGTATGTTTGAAATTTTCCATGTGAGAAGAGCTCAGTTCCTTGCTCCAGACCCCAATCTAACATTCAAATAAGATTCTTTCTATCACAGCCTTGAACTCAAGTCCCAATAGTGCACAGAGATCTTCTCTTGATTCTTCCCATCGAGGCACCAGTCCTCTGCCCAGCCACACTTGTGCTTGCACTATACCTTGCAGGCCAGGTATGCCATGCTGCTGCAGCCACTCGTGAAGGGTGCGGATGGAACTCCAGTGGCTAGGGGTGGGGCAGCACTCTCCCACCACCAATCCTGCCACATGGATCCCCGAGGATTCAAACCACTGTTGATGGAAGGAAGAGATCGTGAGGAGCCCAGGGCCTTATACCTCGCTATGTCGTCTTTCCCCATTGTGTGGCACGAACCCCGTGCTTCAGCCACACTGAATGACTATCATTCCTTAAACACACCAAGCCCCTCATGCTTTTGCCCTTTACCAGCAGTGCTACCCCCATATGAAACACTGAACACATGGGCCCAAGGTGCCTGATTAATAATTGAAAATGAGCCCTAGCTTGTTTGGCTCAGTGGATAGAGCGTGGGTCTGCAACTGAAGGGTCCCAGGTTCAATTCCGGTCAAGGGAACATGCCTGGGTTGTGGGCTCAATCCCCAATAGGGGGCGTGCAGGAGGCAGCCAAATAATGATTCTCTCTCATCATTGATGTTTCTCTCTCTCTTTCTCTCTCTCCCCCCTTCCTCTCTGAAATCAATAAAAATACATTTTTTTAAAAATTGAAAATGATATTTTCCTTTTTCCTTCCTTTTCCTTTACCCAAAACTGAGATCACAAATCCCCTTTTCTGTGAAGCGACCCCGTCACCCACTGCAGCTTGTGCCTCCTCCTTAGAGCTCAGGAGGCTCACATCATTCCCACTGTTCTTTTTACATAAAACCTCAATTTTGCAGGTTTATAAAATCAATGTTGTCAATGTGTTTACAGTGGGCAAAGCTGGTGATGGACATGTTAACCAAGATACTGCCTTGTAAACTAGAATGCAGTGTATTTATAGGCTTGTGATGAGACATGGTCCTTTGGAGGAATAACATGTCCCTTACCTAGAGTTCCCTCTCCCAAGTGGAAGGCAAATTAAGAACTGAGGCTCAGGAAGCCTGGAATCAGGACAAAACAAGTGTGTGGCCCGGCTGGAGTAGCTCATGGTTGAGCATCCACCTGTGAACCAGGAGGTCACGGTTCGATTCCCAGTCAGGGCACATGCCCGGGTTGTGGGCACAATCCCCAGTGGGGGTCGTGCAGGAGGCAGCTGATCAATAATTGTCTCTCATCATTGATGTTTCTATCTCTCTCTCCCTCTCCCTTCCTCTCTAAAATCAATAAAAATACATTTAAAAAACAAACAAACAAAACAAGTTTGTGTCTTTTTCACAGAACTGTGAACTCAAGAACAAGGTGACTGATACATGATAGTAGCCAATAAACATTTACTGAGCGCTGGGGGAGGGGCAGTGAGCAAGAAAAAAGACAAGGTCCCTATGGTCACAATGTTAGTTTGTTACTTAGGGGCATGAAAATTAACAAGGTAACATGTAAATAAACAAGATTATAATTACACAGTGTGATAAAAATAGTGTAAAACAGGTGGGTGCACAATACCTTACTAAATAAAGATAAAGGTTCAGGGAATATACCTTGGCATGATTATACCCTCTTCCTTCACAGGGAATTATATACATAAAAGATAACAGAAACTTGTTATCTAACAGATAAGCATGTAATAACTAGAGAAACAGGTCATTTATGTGGGAGTTGCATATTCAAATTACCTCTGCTTAGTGGAAATTTTAAAGAAAGATGGGTATGGAGCTTGTTACTTAGGGATTTGAAGGATTGTTTGGCAGAACCCTCTGTGTCCAGGAAGACCAGTCTGCACACCGACAAGTGTGTTCACAACACATGTGACTGAAAGGCATCCGTGGGGACCCGGTGGCTCTAGGAGGCCTTCCCCTGGTTCTGTCAGGGCCTCAATTTTGCAGGTTTATACAATCAATTTTGTGAGTGTGTTTACAGTTGACAAAACTGGAGACGGACATGTTAACCAAGATACTGCACTGTAAACTAGAACGCAGTGTATTCATAGGCTTGTGATGAGACGTGGTCCTTTGGAGGAATAACATGGCCCTCACCTAGGGTTCCCTCTCCCAAGTGGAAGGCAAATTGAGAACTGAGGCTCAGGAAGCCTGGAATCAGGACAAAACAAGTTCGAGAAATACTGCACCTAGGCACTGGGTGTGGTTACCTTGCTGAGACCGAACTCATCCGCTTCATCTGGGGGGATGCCATAGTTGCCGATCAGAGGATATGTCAGCACTAAGATCTGTGCCTTGTAGGATGGGTCTGTGAGGGCTTCGGGGTAGCCGACCATGCCGGTTTGAAACACTGCAAGAAAGAGGCCGGGCTGGGGCTCAGGAGGGCCCCCGTGGGCACACTGCCCCACGCCGCGAGAATGCCCTAGTGACCGTGAGATGGAGGGGGCTGGGCTGGGAACTTGGGCGCCGAAGGGGGGATGGGGGTGGGGTTGTGTCGGCGGGAAAATGGCGGGGTCTGGCCAGGGCAGACCGGGCAGAGAAGGGCCGCAGAGAGTGGGACGAGATCGGCAGCCGGACCGGGCTTGCTTACCCACTTCTCCGGCAGTCGACACAGCGGCCCCAAAGGGCTGGCCCCGCAGGACCAACCCATCCTCCAATACCAGGGTCGCCATGGGAACGGAGCTCCGGCTGTGGGCACTCCGAGAGCTGGAAGCACAGCAAGTTTCCGCCGATGCTGGGACCACGTGAGGACCGGGAGCCCGGAGTAGGTACACGTGGCTAGCGGCGCGCCCGGCTGGAGACAGTGCGCGGCGGCAGAAGCCCCAGGAGTGCCGGGAGGCGGCGGACTGCGGCGGCGCGGGAAGCGGGCGGCGTGCGGGGCGGGGCCGGCACGTAAGGGGCGGGGCCAGGGGGCGGCGAGGTCACAGGCGTCAGACTACCTGGCGCAGAGCCTGGAGAAACGTGGAGAACAGAACCCACTTCCACCCCAACCAAGAAACACACAAAGACGGGGCACCTTCCTTTAAAAAAAAATTTATTATCGTTAGCAGCACAAATGGGACCTGGGACTAGTCCGCTCCTCGACTGGAGTGTGACATTCCAGCGCAGTGCAATGTTCCATCTTCCTTGCCACCTCGGCCTTCTCCTGGAGGAGGCTCTGGCCAGCCCTGGCTGGGCTAAGATGGAGTGGGATGACCTTTAGGTCAGTAGGAAGATCTAGGTAGGTCATGAAGCCTTGGCTTTTCGGCGTTGGGTTCCCCAAAGAAGGATGGAGATGAAAAATGTGGTGGATCCCAAAATCCCAAAGAACGTAAGCAGCGAGAACGAGCCCTGTGAATAAAAGATTTTAAAAAAACCCTCATACACCTCATATAGTGTTACTCCAAGGGCTACATCCTAACACCCAGTTTTTTCCTATTATAACTATCCCTTCATCCAGGGCAATTCCTTCAGTTTCCTTTACTAGGTGATTTGCATCAACTCCTGGTCTTATGGCTCTTCTTTCTGAGAGGTTTTTGCTCTATGCATTTCTCTCCTCCCTAATAAGAAGAATTAATTCCTCACCTGGCGCATACACTTGTAGCCATGGAAGCCATCAGCACAAACACATTGCAAAAGACCTGGACCATCAGGCACACAAGATCCATTCTCAGGACATATTTCTAGGAGTCAGAGAGAAACAGAGAACATCACTGGATCTCATATTTCTCAAATATCTGCTTCAAATTAGATTCTTTCAATTATTTCCATGTCAAAGGGGAAGAAAGAGTATAGATAATCAGAACATAATAATATAAATATATTTTAAGATCCTTTCTTTCCAAGGGGTTACAGCTTCAGAAACCTGAACAAAAAGGCACATGAGCAATTTTACTATCTTTCTGATCTAATGGGGAGAATCCAAAGGAGGAAAGGCAGTTCCCCAAAAGGGTGGAGAGGAAACAGCATACCTGTGTCCCCAGTGCTATTGCAAAGGTTCCTTTGTCCTTCACAGGTTTGATTGTTTGGGTAAAATGTGACAGTATTCCAGGCATTAATACCTCCAGGACAGTTGACATCCTCTGGTAGTATCCTGAACAAAGCATAAGCAGTCTTAATATGCAACCTACGTTGCTGAGCTCACAGCACTGCCCCTCTTTGATTCTCTCCCGGACCCCATACCCTTACTCACAGAGTCTGGAGCTGGATAAAGCCGTGGAAGGTGCTGGCCAAGTCATCCTTGAGGGGGTTTGCGTGCAGGTCTCTGAAAAGCACACACTATTAGCACTGTGCTTTAGAAAAACACTCTATTAACCCATCTTCCTGGACTGGTATTCCAGTTTTCATTCTGAGCTGTCCAAGTTTAGGTATCAGTATTCAAACATTTTTTGAGGAGTACATCCTCAACGACTTTCCCATCAACCCTTTGTCATAGTCACTTTTTGGTAAGGAGGATAACTAACCACTTACATGATGATAGCAGTATGTGCTTGAGGAAAGTTTGGACCAAGGTGCTTCAGAGAACAGTTCTGGAGATCCAACCTGAGGAAATAAGGTAATCAGTGTAACTACATGTCTCTCTTTATCCATTAGAGGCTAACACATCCCTTTTTCTGCTAAATATTAGTTGAACACAGAAGTGTTCAGGGCTACAAACTAGGTGCTGTAGATGTTTTAATGCTGCACTGTCCAATTTAGTTATCACTAACTAGCTACGTGTAACTACTGAAATTTATTTAAATTTAAAAAAATTCAGTCCCTCATTTGCACTAGCCATATTTCAGTTAACCATTAACATGTGGGTAACAGCTACTGTATTGAATGGTATAGATATAGAATATTTCCATCATGGCAGAAAATTCTTTGTATCTATGCCTATGTTGGAAGAAATTAGTTTCTTGTCTAGATTAGTGAATCTCATATTATGATATGACCTCAGATCCACAAAGGACCTTCAAATGGAAAAAAAATCCAAATCACATAATCGAAAGTTTTCTCCAAGTGCATTTTCTACCACAGATTGGATGTAAAATGCTGGATATTAAGGAGCATGCTACTTTATTTTCTTAAGTATCTATTGCTGTCTGTTTCTCTATTCTACAAATATTTATGGAGCACCTACTAACTGCACAAATTTGGAATATAAAAATAAAACCCTCAGTATCTTAGCTTTCTTTCTTTCTTTTTTTTTTTTAGCTTTCAAATGTCTTACAATGTAGTAGGAGAACAAGACCAAAAATAGGATCAATATAACCTTTAAAAGCCTAATATGCTGAGTGTCCAACCATTGTTGGACTATCTGATCAGTCGCTATGATGCCCACCGACCATCAGGGGGCAGACGCTCTGACCGGTAGGTTAGCTTGCAACAGTCAGGCTGATCCTGACCAGGCTAGACCAGCAGGACACGTCCTAGAGCCCTTCCTCTAGAGCCCTCCCCCAACAGATGGCGCACAGGTGGGGTCCCTTGGCCTGGCCTGTGGGGTTCGGGTGGAAACCGGCAGTCTGACATCCTCTGAGGGGTCCCAGATTGCAAGAGGGCGCAGTCCAGGTCAAGGAACCCCGAGGAACCCCACCGGTGCACAACCGGGCCTCTAGTATGAAATAAATCACAGGGCAGTATAGAAATAAAATTGATTAGTACAGACATTAAGGATTAGTGGGAGTAAAAAAAAAATATTACTGTGGTATTTAGTAGTAAGAATTCACAAAAGATGCTGGAATTAAAGAATGGAGCCCAGTTGGTATGGCTCAGTGGTTGAGCATGACCCATGAACCCGCTCACTGTTGGAATCCCATCCCCAGTAGGAAGCATGCAAGAGGTAGGCGATGGCCGGTTCTCTCTCATTGATGTTTTTTACCCCTCTCCCTTCCTCTCTCTCTAAAATAAATAACATTAAAATAAAAAATAAAAAAGGACATGTATGCAGTTTCAACCAGGATGAACCACAGTGTTGTTTACCCAGCCAAAAATGCTATAACAGGTTTAGAAGTCTGAGCATTATGGTTGAGATGCCTCCAAAATAGGCACAAATATTTATCCCAAAAGCAGGTCAGGCAAGCCTTGACGAATCTGGGTTTGGAACTCTTTCCCACTCTCCAGCGAAGTCTTCTGCCTCACCCCAGGATGGTGCCATTCCGATTCAGGCAGCAGCGGGCGTGCAACATTAGCTCTGGCGTCTGCTTACAATAATGGGCCACTTCTGACCGATTTCCCACACTCCCTGGGCACTGGATGCAGATCTGCAGAAGAGAGAAAACTATTAGGACCCAGAAAAACAACCACCACCACCAAGAAAGAACAAACAGGGATCAAAAGTTACATGCCAGTACACCTCTCCAGAATCCCTCCAACAGAGGGAAGCGTTCCACCTTAGCATCAGGGTTGACAGACACTATCTTCCCAGGCGCCAAATCAGCACACCAGGGCCTTCCAGCCCAGACCACACCCAGGGAAAGCCCTCGTCCTTGAAGATCACTATGGGAACGTATTTATTATGTCCCCTCCAGTGACTTCTCAACCTGACAGCGGGCTTTGGCGGGGTGTGACAGGACTGCAGGTACACACTCATCAAGCATTACAGACAGGACAGTCCTGCCACCGCACTGCACACGCGGCATCCGTGCGTGGAGAGCCTGCACAAGCGCCAAAGGGCTCATTAGTTATTCAGAGATCCAGGCGCGAGGAGGTCAAAGGTGAAAGGTCTGGGGCTGTCGGCAAGGCCAGGGCGCTGGGAAACCTGCGCAGAGTGAGTCACCGTGAGCGGGAGGTCATACTAGTCATCTAGGGCTGGGAAGGCCTCAAGGGCAAAACCGGGGCTGCGCGCCGGCTGGGGAGGGCCGAGGGCGGCGAGCGCGACACCCGCCGGCCCAGCGCCTCGGCTGCGGGCGACCTCTGACCCGCTGCTGTACCTCGGGGAGCGCCAGAGCCCTTCCCACGCGCAGAGCGAGGAGCAGGGCCGCGGCCAAGGGCAGCGGGATCGGAGCGCTGCCAGGACCGCGAAGGGACATTTTTCCGGCCCTCTGTGTCCTTCTCAGCTCTCGCGAGACTTGCGCCGCGGCCCCGCCCCCGGGGGGCGGAGACTAGGGGTGCCGGCCGGTGGGCCGGGCTGGATTAGGGGCTGCTGCCCGCCGAGGTCAACCTACTTCTTCGTGCGCCCCGGTCCCCGTGAGGGGAACTGGCCTGCCCCACCTCCCGCTCCCCCTCTCGGCCCCGAGCGCCTCGCGCCGGGACGCCGAGGTCGCGTCTCCGCCGGGTCTCTGGGCTACACCGCCGGCCCCCAGGCGACATGGCGGGACGGGACGGGGCGGATCCCGGCTCACACCCGGCGCGCGTGCCGCGTGCCAGTCCTTGGCGGGCGGCCAGGCCCAGGCGTGGAGACCTGGCAGGTGGGCAGGTCGGGGGCAGCCGGAAGGGTGTGGAGCACCGCGTCGGAGCGAGGAGGGCGGGACTAGAGTCGAGGGGGCGGGGTGGCCCGTGGCCGGTGCCCAGCGTGGGTCCCAGAAAAATCGCAGGTGCGGGCGACCAAGCGGTTGGTAGTCCGTGCCACCTCGCCCGTGGAGGGAAGGTGTGGAGAGCGGGAAATCAGGAGGACAGGAGCGCGGAGGAGTGGAGGGCGAAGGGCGAACCCTGGAGGGAGGAGACGGGCGCGGACGCGTCGGGCGCCTTGTCCTCTGCACCTCAGTCCCGGGAGCACGCGCGGGTAGGAGCCCTGGCACGGAGGTCGGGGCGGGAGCGATACTCCCCTGCAGCCTCATCCCCCTTCCCTCCCCAGGAAAAGGGGGCGATGCTGATCTCGGGTAGAACGACGGGACCTCCCCGCGCCGCCTGAGCCACGAGGTAAGGAAAGGCGAGCGCGGTCCTAGGGTGCCCGGGGCTCTGGCCAAAGGTGCGGGGCGGCGAGCTGAGGCTGAGAATGAAGGCCTTAGAAATTAAGGTGAGCGTGAGGTTAGTAAATGAAACATTAACATGTTAGTGAGGGCCCCTTAAAGCCTTTCAGACCATCGGGATTTCTAGGCACAAGATTTTGAAGGAATCTTTTGGGAACGCTTGGTTCGCTGTGGCCCCGTATCCTTTGCAGGAGTCCCAGCAATCCGATGGAGCTTGTGACTGAGTGAGGGTAGGTAGGTGTAGGGTGGTGGAAAAGACTATCTTCCTTGTCTTAGGCGTTTTTGCTTTATTTTAATATATTGATTTCAGAGAGAAAGGGAGAAGGAGAGAGAGATAGAAACATCAATAGTGAGAAAGAATCATTGATAGGCTGCCTCCTGCACCCCCCCCTTCCCCCACACACAAACTGGGGATCGACCCCCACAACCCAGGCTTGTGCCCTTGGCCAGAATCGAACCTGGGACCCTTCAGTCCGCAGGCTGACGCTTTATCCACTGAGCCAAGCTGGCTAGGGCGTCTTAGGTGTTTTAAAACAGGTCCCACCACCAGCTATCTATGCCCTGTGTATTGCAATGGTAATGACGCAACTCAGTTCTTACTTTTGGCTCACAGTCTTTCAGAGATACAAGACCATCGGGTTTGGATCCGTGTAGAATTGTTAGCCACTGTCCTGTTCTTAGAATCGTGTCTGATGACTTTTTTACTGGGTCAGGTTTTTTTCTGTCTTGTCTAGATAGCCGTCTAGGAGGGTTCCCCACACTTAACCAGGAAGCCCTGTCAGTTTACTCCTGCTGTATCGAGGTCTGCATGCCTGTGTTCTAGTTTATACTAGAATCTTCCTTTCTCCAGCTACCTGCCTATCCGTATCATGAACGCTTTACCACTACACGTTCTATTCGCACACAGCACCACCTCTTACTTTCCAGCAGTTCCAGTCACCTCTATCACAGCAGTAAAAGATTTGCTGGGAGTGAGAAAACTCGTGATGTTGCAATCTTCAAAGACCTGGGGCATCTTTAGGTTAAACTACCGTGGCCTACTGGGAACTTTGTTCGGAGTACTGACATTTGTAACTTGTGATCCAAGAGTTGCTAGCTTTGATTTCCTCTCTTCATTGGCCCCAGGAGTTTCAAAGTTCAGGTTTCATTTGTGTGAGGCCATATCATTCCAGCAGGCAACATCTGCCCAAGAACACAGTGTGGGAGAGCCAGGAGACAGCCAGGCTCTCTCCTACTGAGCAAGAACAGAAGACATCGCTTATAATGATCTGTCTGTTTTTTCAAAATATATTTTTGTTGATTTCAGAGAGGAAGGGAGAGAGAGAGAGAAACATCAATGATGAGAGAGAATCATTGATTGGCTGCCTCCTGCATGTGCCCCACTGGGGACCGAGCCCACAGCCTAGGCGTGTGCTGTGACTGGGAATCGAACCCTGACCTCCTGGTTCATAAGTCAGTGCTCAACCACTGAGCCATGCCGGTCAGGCATGATCTGTGTCTAGACTAGTTGAAGTCTAAACTTTGTTCCACAAATGACTGACTACAATGAACATTCTGTTTCTGTCCTAGTTAGTAAGGACTGGGCCACTGGTGAAATTTTAGTAATTAGGTTGTGTGTGCCATGAGATGAAAAAGGTTGAAAAGGTTGGAAGGTCTCTAAAGACCATATGGTATTAATGGAGAGTGGATGGGTGGGGAAAACAGTAGTCCTGGGATCTAATTTAGCCTGTGGCGACAATCAGCTCTGTAGTTTGAAAAGATCACTGAGTTATCTCCGCCTGGTGTCTTTGTAAAGGAGGGTGTTATGAGGGTGTTATCTTAGTGATCTCTTAAGATCCCTTTAAGTTTTTAAATACTATGATCCTGTCCTTGTTCTAAGGACAATGGTCTGTTCTTTGAGGATTAGCATCTCTTTTGCTGGAGTCAGAAAGGTAACTTTCCCACCTTTCAGCCCCTCCTTTCCAGTTCCCTTTAAGACACGGTGCCAAGTAAGACTTAGAGTGAAAGCCTAATCCATCTAGGAATGTTGTTGCCTGTGAGCTCCCTGCTTCCCGTTCTGGAGCTGGAGTTTGGGGGTCCTAGGGAAATAGGGCCGTTTGGATCACAGTGATTGGTTCCCTGAAGGGGCCAGAACAAACAGCTGCTGAGTTCCTCTTCGCCTTCCAATTCCTGATCTCAGCAATAGCCGCTTATATAGAGCCAGACCTTCAGTCTGCCTCGCTCCAGACACACAGCTTCTCCAGGCAGCTCTGCCTCAGACCGGATTGCTTCTCTGGGTAAGTTGTCTGCCCCAGCAGGATAAGACCACTCTCCCTGGCTGTTCCCTGGGCCCCAGCTCCTTGGCTGGTTTGCTTCTCCCCAAAGTATCTTATGATCCTGACTCTGAACTGCTGGTCCCAGCACGTTGCCCTCTCACTGTTTTTTCAAGAAGCTATAACTTTATTAATGATAGAAACAGGACAAATTTCAAACCAAGCTGCAGTTACTTTTTTGAAACTCAAAAAAGTCCTCATTTTTATTTTTTAAAGAGTGTTTATTTATTTTTATATGTATTTTTACTAGAGGCCCGATGCACGAAATTCATGCAAGAGTAGGCCTTCCTTCCCCCAGCTGCGGGCACTGGCTTCCCTCTGGCACCCGGGACCCTGGCTTTGCTCAGGCCACCAGCAGGCACCCAGGACCCGGGCTTCCCTCCGGCCCGGCCTTCACCCGGAATGATGTCCGGTCTAATTAGCATGTTACCCTTTTATTATTATAGATTGATTTCAGAGAGGAAGGGAGAAGAAGAAAGAGCGAGAAACATCAATGGTGAGAGAGAATCATTGATTGGCTGCCTCCTGCATGCCCCACACTGGGGATGGAGCCTATAACCCGGGCATGTGCCTTGACCAAGAATCAAACCGTGAGCTCCTGGTTCATAGGTCGACTTTCAACCACAGCCACGCTGGGTCAGGCAGTCTTGTTTTAATTTTATGTCCTTAACTGCCACATCTGTTTCATCAGCCTCTTCCTCTTCACTTTTGTACAGTTGGAGTGGTTTTTTTGGTTACCTTTTATTTTTTTTAAATAAATCTTTATTGTTCAGATTATTACAGTTGTTCCTCTTTTTCCCCCTCATAGCTCCCCTCTTCCCAGTTCCCACCCCACCCTCTGCCCTTACCCCTCCCCACTGTCCTCATCCATAGGTGTACGATTTTTGTCCAGTCTCTTCCCACACCCCCACACCTCTTTCCCCCCGAGAATTGTCAGTCCACTCCCTTTCTATGCCCCTGATTCTATTATATTCACCAGTTTACTCTGTTCATCAGATTTTTTATTCACTTGATTTTTAGATTCACTTGTTGATAGATGTGTATTTGTTGTTCATAATTTTTATCTTTACATTTTTCTTCTTCCTCTTCTTAAAGAATACCTTTTAGCATTTCATATAATGCTGGTTTGGTGGTGATGAACTCCTTTAGCTTTTTCTTATGCTTGAAGCTCTTTATCTGACCTTCAATTCTGAATGATAGCTTTGCTGGATAAAGTAATCTTGGTTGTAGGTTCTTGCTATTCATCACTTTGAATATTTCTTGCCACTCCCTTCTGGCCTGCATAGTTTCTGTTGAAAAATCAGCTGACAGTCATATGGGTACTCCTTGTAGGTAACTAACTGTCTTTCTCTTGCTGCTTTTAAAAGTCTCTCTTTGTCTTTAGCCCTTGGCATTTTAATTAGGATGTGTCTTGGTGTAGTCCTCTTTGGATTCCTTTTGTTTGGTGTTCTCTGTGCATCCTGGACTTGTAAGTCTATTTCTTTCACCAGGTAGGGGAAGTTTTCTGTCATTATTTCTTCAAATAGGTTTTCTTTCTTTCTTTTTTTCTTTTTTTAAAAAATAT